AAAACAACCTAAATGATTCCGTAATATCATGGTCGTTTTTTCTTTTACGTGCGTTTATATTTGATAAATCAGGATCCGAATCGTAACGTTTGCTCGATTGCGATGACTGTGGCATTTTACTTCCAAAGTTAATTCTGAATATATGTAGCTCTATGGAGATAAACGAATGGAACGAGTCACTGAATGAATGTAAACTGAGAACTTCACTTTAGCACTTATAGAAGGTAAAAGACGCACAATTACTTGTAGCAAAAATCTATTTTATGCTTTTAGATTTAAAGTTTAATTTCGATCACCAAACAAAAAATAATGTATTTTAGATTAAACAGTTACTCCAAGACACGTCTGACGTCGACGCGTGCGCGCGCTCATCTTTCGATGATAATTTTTCTGTCATCCATAGATGAATTTCAATGGAAATGTTAGTGATTAAATAAACATTCTTATTTTAAAATTGTAATTCTTTTATTTGTAATTAATGTCTATGTATTTTTTTTTGTATTTTGGCGGAACATTTATTTTCTTACAAAGTCTGGAATTTTTCTTCGATTAATCGATATCTTAAGTGCAATTAATCGATTAATTGTAATCGACACTGATTATCGAATAATCGATTACTTCGCTATCGATTATCATCCCTAATGTACATAAGTTTGATGTTGCCAGACACATGAATAATGTTAGTTCCTCAAACATTCGTGTCACGACTTTATAGACAAACTGTATTAGATGGATGCGCTGGATTGCCAATTAACGATGCGCGAAATTTTCAATGATGATTTACGTTAGACCTTATGCTCTAAGCGTTAGGCCGTGTCGGCCAAAGCAGAGTTAACTAATATTAAATAGTATATTTTACATGGATTATGGATACACTCACTCTATTCCAGGCAGTAACCGACTGACGAGCAACAAACGAACAACGCTCGGAAAAAACTTTGTCCCGCCTCGACCCGGCCACGACCCATTTTATGAATACAGTGCACGCCGGGCAATTGTAGTGATACTTCAGACAAAAAAAAAAGATTTTGCTCGGACGAGTACATATAGGTACCCTGTTTCCTTTATCTGTACGAGTAGACTGCTCACGGCGCAACGGTACCTACCTAATTGCTCGGTCGAGGCCCGCCTTTATAAATGACAGGTAGGGGAGCCGCTCGGTGACCGTGCTACGGCTGAAGCTCGGCTCGGACTCGACACGGTCTTTCGTCACTTTTTATTTTAGAATTCATTGCATTTCATTTAAGAAGTGGTGGCTTTCCCCAACCATTTGCCAATAAAAATTACTTAGGCATGCTCTAAGAAAAAATATGATTCCTAAAGTTCTCCTCGCAGATTTAATTTCCTCAAGTTCATTTTTTGACGTGACAACGTCTTAAATTAGGTTGCGGCTGGGAGTCACTTATGAAAAAGTGTAACGCTCGGTAACGTTACGATGAGTCTCTCGTGTTAAGTTTAAGTTTACATGTACAATGTTTTAGTAAACAAAATATATTTCTATAGTTAAAATTTGTGCAATTCTTATTTTCATTCAATTCCTTGTTCCTATTGTGCAATTTAATTATATTCATATCAATAAATATTCTACCGAGAAAAAGACGTTGTCACGTAAAATCTTCGCCCGTAAAACCGACTTTACAGGCAACCATTTTTTTACCCAATATAAGGATAAATACTCCCAATCTAGAAACCCTAAGTACCACAGAGTAGGCAAGTATTCACTTTTTATTGATTCAGAATTTCTCATACAGTTAAATAATAAACTTATATTAAGTTTACACATTTCAAAGATGATGAAGAACAACAAAAGATGAAATAAGTCAAAAGCACTGAATAATATGTATTTGTGGTTTTCCAATTACAGAGCATAATGCGACTCAGTGGCGCACACTGCCGAATTATGCTGATGCTTAATTGGAAAATTTTCAACAATGAATAATATTACTAACGATAACATATAAATAAAACATTGCGATCAATGCCAACTTAAAGAAAAAACACTTGTTAATTTTCTGTCTCTGAGTTGGTACGATTGCACGCATCACACGAAAGCATTACTTTTGAGAGTGCACGATTGTGCGAAGCCTTGCTGTAGTTGGAACACTCAACGTTAAGCATTATGTCGCATAATGCGCTATAATGCTGTTATTGGAATGCTACCAATGGTGGTTTTCCAATTACAGAGCATAATGCGACTCAGTGCCGCACAATGCCGAATAGGCTAGTTGACCCTTTTTGGAAAAAGGTTTTAAATGGTTAATAAATGTTCTATTAGACCGAAAAAAATGTATTGTATTTTTTTTAAACCTAGAAAGCTACAAATCTTTAATTTTAAAATAGAATTTTCATGGACATACAAAAACGCTGTCGGCCATTTTAGTCTATAGATTATCTATGCTATGACGTGAACTGTGGTAAACAAAAACTCGTAAACACGTAGAAAATTAATTTTAACTGAGTTTATAAAAAAAAACATGATTTCTAATAAATACCACGAAAAATAAAGTAATTATCATTACTGTATTGTACGAGAATATAAAAACACATCCTTGAAGACTCCAGGAAAGTTGTGGATTAAAGTGCCGAAAGAAATTAACCTACGCATCTTTATTACACTTAATCATATGTTGTATCAGTTTTATGTTTATTACTACATTGTAATACGAAATGCACTGTACTTACATAGATGTCTTGTCGTTTCTCTGCTCCGCAGAGCAGAAATCGGGGTTTAGTGCAACAAATTCACCAACCATCAATGCGTCAATTCTTGGCAGATTTGTGCTTTCTGCTTTCACAAAGCCGGCATCCATAATTAGTTTTGTCAAAAAAAACTAAGTTTACTGTTTTTTTCTTTCCTAAAGTTAAAAGTGTTTTAAGATAAATTTAGTCAGAAGAAAGAATCCACCTACAGTAACACGCGAATGACATTTAGTTGTTTACCACAAGAGACGTCAAAATCATGGCGGATGTGGCGAACAGCGTTTTTAGTGTTTAAAAATCTAAGACTAAAAAATATTTTTTAAAATTAAATTTCTACAGCAATCTTCTGCTTTTATGAAGTGAAATCGATATATTAAGGTTCCTTAGACTAAATACTTAAAGAAATAATCATTTATTTAATACCATTCGACATGAGTAAACTAGCCTATTATGCTGATGCTTAATTGGAACGTGAACTAGTTTTAAAATGCACCAGCAGAGTGCGCTAAGTTCAGTGTTGAAAAAAAAGTCGATGTTTGTACCTTCATCCATACTTATATTTATTTTTTTAACAGTTTGAATTAACTTTGATTGTTTAAAAAAAACCATTTAATGAAACGAAAGCTTTAATAATTTTTCAACAATAAATAATATTACTTACGATAACATGTAAATAAAACATTTGGATCAATGCCAACTTAAAGAAAAAACACTTGTTAATTTTCTGTCACTGAGTTGGTACGATTGCACGCATCACACGAAAGCATTACTTTTGAGAGTGCTCGATTGTGCGAAGCGTTGCTGTAGTTGAAACACTCAACGTAAAGCATTATGCCGCATAATGCGCTATAATGCTGTAATTGGAAAGCTTATATATTATAATTTAGTAAGTTCGCAATTTCAGAATACCAATTCTCTAAGGTAGCTTTCCAATTACAGCATTATAGCGCATTATGCGGCATAATGCTTAACGTTGAGTGTTCCAACTACAGCAACGCTTCGCACAATTGAGCACTCTTAAAAGTAATGCTTTCGTGTGATGCGTGCAATCGTACCAACTCAGAGACAGAAGATTAACAAATGTTTTTTCTTTAAGTTGGCATTGATCGAAATGTTTTATTTATATGTTATCGTTGGTAATATTATTTATTGTTAAAAATTATTAAAACTTTCATTTCATCATATTTTTTTTAAATAATCAAAGTTAATTCAAACTGTGTTAAAAAATTAAATATAAATATGCATGAAGGTACAAACATTGACTTTTTTTTTCAACACTGAACTTAGCGCACTCTGCTGGTGCATTTGAAAACGAATTCACGTTTCAATTAAGCATCAGCATAATTCGGCATTTTGCGCCACTGAGTCGCATTATGCTCTGTAATTGGAAAACCACCTAAATCTAAACTAAAATGAGCTCTCTAATTTTAAGTTTAGGTTTAGAGAATGTAAAGCCAGAATCAGTCCCAATGTATCCTTTTTATTCTCTATACAGAATGAAAAGGAGAGACTGATGTTAAATTTAGTTTTAAGTTTAGAGAATCATGCCAGAATCGACACCCATATCTTAATAGAAAAGTTCACTTTCACTATACACAGTGGTAGCTTTCCAATTACAGCATTATAGCGCATTATGCGGCATAATGCTTAACATTGAGTGTTCCAACTACAGCAACGCTTCGCACAATTGAGCACTCTCAAAAGTAATGCTTTCGTGTGATGCGTCAGAGACAGAAAATTAACAAGTGTTTTTTCTTTAAGTTGGCATAGATCGAAGTGTTTTATTTATATGTTATCGTAAGTAATATTATTTATTGTTGAAAAATTATTAAAGCTTTCGTTTCATTAAATGGTTTTTTTTAAACAATCAAAGTTAATTCAAACTGTTAAAAAAATAAATATAAGTATGGATGAAGGTACAAACATTGACTTTTTTTTTCAACACTGAACTTAGCGCCCTCTGCTGGTGCATTTGAAAACTAATTCACGTTCCAATTAAGCATCAGCATAATTCGGCATTGTGCGGCACTGAGTCGCATTATGCTCTGTAATTGGAAAGCAACCCATGTAAACAGTCAATTATTTTCTGAAATAAAGAGGAAGTTTTTCTTTTATTTTTACATTAATTAGCAACAATTTACGCACTAATTAATAGCATGAGTAAAACTCTAATTCAATCTGGTGTACGCTGTCATGACGTATACTCTCTGACGCGTAACGACCAAAACGACACACACAACACGACATCTGATCTTTATTACAAGCGTAAGCCTCTTTAGAAAGAGATAAGTAGCCTCTGCTATTAACTCTTACTCGTATCGTATTATCAGTAACAGTACTCTGTTGTTTTTTTACATCTATGGCGTGACGTTACACAACTGACAATGTCACACAGTGCCAGAACTTGACATAAGCAGTGTATGTGTATCAGGATAAGGATAACATTTTTATTAGGTCACATCAAAGAAACTTAATTAATTTCTAATGTAATTTAAAGATTATATTCATTATTTTTGTAATATTTTAATTTTATACTTATGTTTATTATTTGTTACAACTCACTAGTCATAAAAACATTGTGATAATGGTGATAATGGCATATCGAGTTTTGATCATTTTCATTTTTGCTATATGTGTAAGAACTGAAGAAGAGCATTCAGCATCGAAAATGAGCAAGGAAGAGAGGCAATTGTTAAAGTAAGTATTTATTATTGATTATTACTAACGTTATTGTTGCTGCTGTTTGTGTTTACATTAGTAAACCCACTTATTTATCACATACATAAATTAGAGCATTAGCTGAAAATTTATACACCAAGTTGAAACTCAGAGCTAAAATAACATGGTATAAGCCACAGTACATCAATGTAAGAAATTATTGTAATTAATGAATTCACAAACTAGAATTTGTAATACAGAACCAGTAACATTTATGCAATGTCTATCAAAAATTTGTTGAGTAGCAATAATGAGAATGCTCTTCCAATATCACCAGTGTATGAGGCAGACTTATGTTGAACTTGTAACTACAGAACTTATTCAGGTTCATTGTCACAAAAATTAGAAGTTAATTGTCTACTGAATCATTATTTGAATAACAGTTAAAGTTAATCAACACATTTTTAATGATTTCAGAAATATGTTGGGTATATAAATAATTCTTGTTAACTGCTATTAGCTGTATGTTAAATTCACTACAAAACATTTAATAAGAGAATACAAATGAAACTTTGGTTAAGGTTCTACTTCTTTTCTCAACCAAAAAAATGATTTAGATAAGGTCTTTTAGCAATCACAAGTTTACTTGATCAATAATAATAATAATATTCTTTATTGTATCCACAAAGGACATAACAGTAAGATTACACTGACAGAGAGACATTACACAACGGGCTGCTTTTTTGCTTAATAGCAATCTCTTCCAGGCAACCCATGACAGAAAATTTAATAAGTATATAAGAACAAAAAAAAAGCAATATTGTAAAATAAAATAAAAAAAGTAATAATGACAAGATGCTTTAATATTAAAACAAAAACAAATAAATAAAGAAAAGAGGTATTTTAAAAGTAAGGATAGAAAATGACTGTTAACTTGATCACTGGACGAGTCCAGAGTACGAGCTGTTCGAAATAGATGTTGATTTTGGTCAATTTAATTTTAATTGTGTTTATATGTTATCCAACTTAATAATCATATTTACAAAATATTATAAAGATTATAATATGTGTAGAAAATTAGTTTTATTAAGTCATATCAATGTTTAGGCATGCATGGTAAAGATTTATATTCAAATACAGAAGAAAAGTGTTCCAAAATTAAGTTATAATTTTATTACATATTAATCTGAATAAGACCTGTTCATTTGCCATCCCCAAATAACACAATTGTAATAGTGTCATTGTAAATTTGCCTTTAATACATTCAAAATCTTAATCTGGGTCAATTTAAAATTAAGAATTATTCATGTACCCATAACTAAGAATCAGGTAAGTCGAAATTCTATATGCATGGTAGTTTTCTAGGGGTTTATATAAAGGGACCAAATGAAACAGTAACCCAAGAGATTTAGAAATTAATCATGTAATAAAACACCTGCTATTTATGTGAAGTGTGTGGTGTATAGATGTGATGCATCTTAAATTATTGTATATCAGCATTAGTACATATTGATACTTTATGGAATTTGCTTTAAACATTTTTATTGAACAGGCAGGAAGGATTGCTTTAGCATTTTCCAGTAAGGTAATAACCACTTGCTCTAAAAGTTCAATCTGATCATTGTAATGTATTTGTGTAAAATATTTTTTATATCCTCTGTTGAAAAAAAACAGAGTAAATTATTACTAACTAGATAGGACTATAAAGATAGGACAATAAGAATTTTTATAACCTTACAGACTTTTACAGAAAAGCTAAATCTAAAAGCTGACATACAATTGCCTTGAGTAAAGTTACGTTAATGTATTAGGGCCTGGGCGATAATAAAGATTACTATTGTGATTGTTGGGCATGGCAAAAAGTTTAACAAAAAGCCTTGGCAGCAAAGTCAACCAATTTACTTTATTAATTTTGTTATTGTCTGACCATCCACAATATTGGACTTTCAGAGAAGAAGCTCGTAATATGTTTTACCATGCTTATGATGCATATATGGATAATGCGTATCCTGCAGATGAACTAATGCCTCTCAGCTGTAAAGGTAGATGGAAAGGAGTGACACCAAGCCGAGGTGATATGGATGACGCACTTGGAAAGTAAGTTTTTGTACGTTTTTAGCATATAAGTAGGCTAATCAAGTTATATCTATAAACATGTAAAACATTGTAATACATAAGCTTCCACTCAAACCAGTAAAAAATATGTTGAGATAAAAGATCAAAGGTTTGTGTTTTCGTGTCTACTAGCTGTCGCCCGCAACTACGTCCGCATTAACTTCAGTTTTTTAAGAATCCAGCGGGAACCTTAAATAGGGATGAGGACTATTTTTTTTCTTCGTTTATCAGGTAGATTATCAAAAAGTATTGGACACGTATTTTTTCTTTTTTCACATAATATAAACATTGCAGAGATATATTGATTTGAAAAGTCGCATGATGTCACGTTTGAGTACACTTATAAGTGAAAATTCACTCAAAAGTGAAGTCACGAGCCCCTACTCCCAAACTTTGCCGAGCTATAACTTTGTCATTTTTTGGTTGATTGTCCAAAGAAAAAATACGTGTCCATTATTTTTTGATCATCTAACTGACAGACTAAATAGAATTTCGTTTACTGTACCCCGTCATCATCCCTATTGTTTTGGGTTAAAAATTAACTCATGTTTCAATCTAGGTAATAAACTATGTGTGCTAATATTCATCCTAATCCGTAATGATGATTGAGTAATAAATATACAAACTTTCACATTTATATTAGTAGGATAGGAAGTAGTAAATAAGATCAGGACTACGTCCACCAGGCAGCACACTTGTAGCATGCCGACGGACCCCGAGGTCATGGTTAGGCGTCAACTGGTAGACTATCGTGACTTTCAATCAGTTGGTAGAATATAAATACATATACGTAATCAGGTGGACGGCTAGACGTAAATGGGTGGAACGCTAGTTGTCCATGCGTCGCTTGTGATCCGTTCGTGGGCTTAGAGCATTTAATAGATACTAGCGCCCGCGACTTTTACCGCTTTAACTATATTTTTTTGAGTATCCTTCAGGAACCTAACATTTGTTTAGATTAAGAAGTGCCCTGTTTCAATCTAAGTAATAAACTATATGTGTTCCAAAATTCATCCAAATCCATTCAGCCGTTTTTATGTGATTGAGTAACAAACATACAAACTTTCACATTTATTATATTAGTAAGGTAGGAAGTAGGATCAAATAGTATCAGGCCCGCCATTTAGTAGATCTTATTTAATGAACTCTTGTAAGCCGAAACAGCTGAGTTGTTTTGATCATTATTTTCATTGCCTACGTAGGTACATTTTTATTGTATTCTATAGCTGAATAATCATCATTTAGGATAAAAATCTATTAGATCAGGTCAAGCAATTTTGGGTACTAAATATTTTGAAAACATGTGTAGGCTTTTTTGTGTTGGTCAATGACAAATAAAGAATCAAAATATGCATAGGGTGTTCATATGTCACCGTTACGCATTCATTAGTCGTCATAAGTATTTAAACTAAACACCTTTGGCTTTGCGCAGATGTTGGTAGGTAGGTATATCTGCACAGTTTAATTATATTTATCACCTGGAACGTTCTACATTTTTCTTTAAAGTTTATGTAAGGAGGTACGCGATAACGGAAAGTGTACTCAAGGTCGTCGACTAGCAAGAACCAATCCTCGCAATCACTCGATTGTTTACAAATTGCTTGTTATATGGATGTATAAAAATATGCACTGAATACAAAAAATAACATATTTTAATCTGTTAGTGTTTGCATGAAAACGTCTTGCTGTAGTTAGCCCCATTATTTATCGCAATGTATGTTTGCATTTTTGCATAGCGTATCTAGTAGTATTTATCAAATAACTCCGAAATATAACTTTTAATTGCTTATATTTTTAATACAAGGAAATGGTATCGAGTGCGTAATTTAAAACAATCTTATCTTATATAGCTATAGATAGCTATTGTTTTTATTATGTCGTGTCCTGTTTTTGTGTATTATTAAATTAATTGATAGAACACACTAAACTGTTTGTTCTTCTCGGAACAATGTCTTCTTTAATATAACACAAATAGCTTATGGACTGTCACATGTGCATCTTAAGATGGAATAAGATGTATTCAATTTCCCTCTTTCGCAGATTTAGCTTCACATACTTACTATTCGTAGACTAAAGGATAAAATAATGATAGTGAAACAAACTGGTTTATGTGAGTTACTTTAAAAGATTTCCTGTCCAGCCGTACAAATCAAGTAGAGTACTAGCAGCATTGATAGGCGCCTCAAACTGGATCCAGCTACTGTATCAATAAACCTGAATCTGCTTCCTTCGTTACAGTACTTTTTGCTTCACTCTAATACATGACATCTATTAGAGGGAAGCACCTTTTGCATTCAACCAAATTATGAATATAGCCTGCGTTGATAATTACTTTTGTATTACAATATCAAAGTAAATTACACCACCGTATAAACTGATAAGTCTAGTTTTGAAGATAGTTACGAAGCTGGGAGTGTCGCCCCACCTTTCCTCTTGCCTGTATGAGAATTCAATTCACATAATTGATGAACATAATAAATCCTACCTATTTGAAGTTTTAAGTACTCAGGAACAGCACCGGCCGATGCCCTTGATCCAAAAGTTATTGTTTCAGTTTTTCTCTTACGCTGGTGGACAGCTTGGACACCCTGGTGGTGATGGGAGATTTCTCAGAGTTCAGCAGAGCACTGAAGCTAGTATTGAGAGATGTCACATTCGATCACGACATTGTAGTATCTGTGTTTGAAACAAACATAAGGATGCTAGGGTAAGTGTAATTGTTTGAAGAGAGGAATGTAATTACTCATCAGTTATGAAGGTGTTATGATTTTAATTCGCTATAAATTTATCATTTTAGTGGTTTACTGTCAGCTCATGTGTTGACAATGGCTTTGAAATCCGAAGTGCCGGCACTGCAATGGTACAACGGGGAACTACTTGCAATGGCCGAAGACTTGGGTAGGAGGCTGCTGCCTGCTTTTAATACCTCTACGGGTATACCTCATGGGCGAGTGAGTATTATTAGTATCGCCGCACACGGGCCACCGACCACAACCTCAAAACGCCACCACCGACATATTTCTTGTAGTTTTCATATATTTTTAATAGGCTCGCCACACACTGTACGCCGGTGGCCGCCACACGCTACAAATCGTCGTTGCTCGCTTTTTGTGGCCCGCACCGGCCACCGCGCCGATACAAAACGCCGCCACCCGTCACTCGCGCGTTTCCCCACCCCTCTCTCCCTTACCTTAGTCAGCCGCTGTCGCGCGCTTCAGCCACTTTAGTAGCCGCTTCTAGCTTCTCGTGGCGGCGTTTGTGGCTGTGGCGTGTGGCTCATGTGTGGCGACACTTAGAGGAAGCCACGAAAATATTTAGTAATTCAAAGTTTTAAAATTTTTCATTGAAATATATATTTCGTGGGAATTGCACCGACTCTTATTTCTATCGCATACTAGTTCATATCGAAGAATAAGGTCATAACATGTTATTGTTTAAAGTTATAACGTGATGCGGCATAAAAAAGCAAAAAAGCGGGCTTATAGGTACTTAAAGTAAAAGAAAATGTAAATATCAGTTATTTTCGCACTGTTAATTTTACATGGTCATAACGTTATACCATTATGCTTAAACAAGTACTTATACCATTTCCATTACATTATCAGAAGTACATCTTAATAAATGTCCATAAATTGCTTCTTATTACAAAAATTGCAATTGTTTAGCCATTGCAACCATTTCTATTGGGTTAGCTATGTATGTTGTTAACCTACATTAATTTATTTATTACTCCCGACTCACCGAAATTTTAACAAGGTTTTCAAAAGGATTATTAGTATAACTAGCAGCGGCCAACGACTTCGCCTGCGTTAACTTCAGTTTTTGAGAATCACACAGGAACCAAACATTTTCCGGAATAAAAAGTATCCTATGTCTCAATCCAGGTCATAAACTATATCTCAGATCCAAATCCGTTCAGCAGTTTTTTCGAGATTGAGAAACAAACATACACACTTTCACACTTATAATATTAATAATAGGATTTAAGCAAATGTTTTGTCTTCGGTGGCTGCTTAGAATCAGACGGCCGTACTTGTTTACCACTCTTATTATACGTCCTGGCAAACTTCTTGAGCAACGACCAAAGACAAGGAAGCCTGCGCACTAGCACTTTTACATACAAAATCGTCTACGGCGCAAATCTATTTGTCTGTGATTTTGCTCAAGAACTTTGCTGCTACCTATACCTACCTACACGAACATACAAACTTTGCAATTTATAATATTAAGTAAGATGTGCATTTTCATAAAATCTATCTCGATAGAATATATTTATATATGGTAAAGCCCCGGCTTTACTAACTGTACTAAAAACCGCCAGTCAAGTTACCGTCTAGCGCCTGTCGTCACGTAGCTGATATTTGGTTACGATAGCCGCTACACCTGCGTTTATCGTGATCATAGACGAAGCTATGTTTTAAAGAATGCCGTGTTTTCTGATACAAATACGAACCAATAAATAGTTTCGTAGTACGAGTAACCATTCCTTTTACAGATAAACCTTCGCTTCGGCATCGGAGGATTGTCGGAGTCGCGGGAGACTTGCACAGCTTGCGCCGGCACTATGATACTGGAAATGGCAGCGCTATCGAGGCTCACAGGGAACCCAGTTTACGAACAGAAGGCACACAAAGCTATGGACAGACTGTGGAAAATAAGGCATAGGTAAGAGAAAATATATAAAAAAAAGTGAAATCACGAACTCTTTAGTTTATTAAGTTTTTTTTACCAAAATCGAGTCTAAAGAGCGATTTAACAAAATGTTTTTTTTTCAACGTCGAGATATTCCAAAAAAAAAAAGAATTCGTTATGCAAAATTGGCGATTGTATTATAAAAAATCTCTTTATATTTTACAAGGCATTTATTTTAACTCTTTAAAGCTTAGAAGTATCAGTAACCGAATATAGTTGATTAATAAGAGTCCAGTTGCATTATAACGTAATACTTACCCTGACCCAGATTTTTGTTGTTTCGATTTCTTTAAATATTGTTGACAATACCTTACCAATTACAAATGTAGTTAGGATAAACTAGTTATAAAATATAATCGTCTTAAACTCACTTAAGTTGTTTACATTGCAATAGAACCGTTGTATAATTTTATGAAAAAAAACAATACAGAATCCACTTGTCAGACAATACACAACAAGAGACCTGCTATGAACTCTGTAGGGCACGGAACAATTCGTGTGCGAGATCAGGGTTGGGTCACTCAGCAGGTTTTGATATAAGCGACACTCTAATCCGTTAAAAAATTTGAACTTCTGTTCCTAGCCCTGGAGGCATCACCCTAATTGGCAACGATCATACGATGACACGATGCGATCCCGTCGTGCGATGAGTTCAAACATAAACATTTCCTCAGAAGTGTCCTAATACAGCTCGTAAGCCGTCGCACGAGCTCAAGTACATTAATTTCATCGCACGATGAGATCGTATCGCGTCATCGTATGATCGGTGCCAATTAGGACGACGCCTTGACACCTCACGAATTCTTGACGTACTAGCAATAACTATGGATTTCCACTAAACCGCCATCACACTTGGTGGAAAACTAAGGTTGCGTTGTTTCATCTATACTTAGTTAAAATTGACTATAGTTAACATACTAGAGAAATATTACCACTTGTCAAAATTTGACACATAGTGTGATGTTTTGGACGTGACATTACCTATAATCAAATTTAACTAAAGACGAAACAACGCAGCCTTAGATGAACACGCTTGTCTATTAATGCCACCGACCCAAGCAACGAATTCCAGGGCACACAGACATCCATCTAAGTTTAGCTATATTTTTGTTCCAGGACTTCAGATCTCATGGGCACTGTGATAAACATACACTCGGGCGACTGGGTCCGTAAGGATTCGGGCGTCGGCGCAGGCATAGACTCGTACTACGAGTACTGTCTGAAGGCTTACATCCTTCTCGGCGATGAGAAGTACCTGGCCAGGTTCAATAGACACTACAACGCGGTCATGAAGTATATAAGCCGGGGGCCCGTTATGCTGGCTGTACATATGCACAGGTGAGTTGCTGGCTGTTTTCCATAATTTTATTTCGTTTCGTAGGGAAGGGAAGGGATTTGAGCTATTTTTGAGCCTCCCTCCATCGACGAAATGGTGTATATTATCATTATAATATTTTTACTTTCCATCATTCAATCTTCAACCCTCTTGACTAATAGATATGACGAACGAGTAAATCCCCGTTTAGCAACGTGGACTCTTTTATTTTAGTAAACAAGGTTCACATTTTTTTAAACACAAAAAGTATCGGTATTTTTAAAAAGAAACGATATTTTGAAAATTGACTTTAATGATTGCATTTTTAATAAATCATTAATTCATAGTTATAATATATTTCAAAAATGGGTTATTTCTTTAATGAGTTGTGATAGTTAAGATTGTTTAAAAAGTAAGACGCGTCAGAAAAACACGTACCTACCTCCAGAAACTGTTGTGTAGGTACATTATACGATTTGATTATGATGTATTTCCGAACAATTATTGTTTCGCTATTCGTAGCAGGAAAAACGGTAAAACTTTGTTTGTTCACTGCTTTAACAGGATAACAAGTGTGTTAATTGCAACGGTGTTGTGTTTATAATATAATCGATGTATTTTCAGAGTAGCACATCAAATAGAATGTTGTGCATTGTTTACCAAAGAGGTTAAAATCCTATCGAAGAATTACATTACGATGATTTATTTGGGGGACAGGGCTTTGAATAAATTACTTTATGATTACAATAACTTTATTTGAATCAGAGAATTTCAATCAAAATGCATACGACGGCATGCTAATAAAATGAGTAGAGGAATCGAATTTAAATAAATTTTCACATAAATTAGTCTTCTAATGAAAACATAAGTTAAATAATTTTATGGTTAATTATTTTAAATAAGGTCACTCGCATTAGCAGTAATATATATATTTAATATAGTTATTGGCTAATTGTCGTAATTATTTTATAATGTAACATAAAATTATTGATTCACCACCATTAGAAAAAAAAACCATGCAAACATCTTTCTATACAAAATGCATACTTTTCAAAATAATTGTATAGTTTAATTATTTTGAAAATAATGCGTTTTCTATAAAAGAAGTTTGATTTTTGCATGGTTTTTATTTTTTAATGGAGGTGAATTAATAATATCTGGCGCCCGTCTTACTTCGTCGGCATAGTTTTTTTTGTAGAGAAACCCTCAGGAACCTTACAGCGTACCTAGATAAAAAATATCCTATGTCTCATTCCAGGTATAAACTATATGTGTACCATATTTCATTCAATTCCGATCAGCCGTTTTTGCGAGACTGAGTAACAAACATACAAACTTTCACATTTATAATATTAGTAGGATTTAAGCAATTGTTTTCTTTTCGGAGGCTGCTTAGGCTTAGCTCCAGGGACGTTCTTGTATACCCCCCTTATTACCTACATAAAAATAAAATAACATGCATCAAGAGACAGTAATGCACGAACTTCACTTTCTACAAATTTTACTGGAAAAAGTTTTCGTTATTGTGTTCAGTGCATTCGCCTAAAGGCGCTGGTCCGAAAACCAGCCTGTATCTGCCCTCTAGCATGAGCGTCACGATATATTTATTACGTTTTTATCATGTCTTATTCTAAAACTCTTAAAGTACTTTTACGTTACTTAAATGACTTAACCTATCTCTCCACCAAATTTCATCTAAACCGGTTTTCCGGTTATACCCTGAAAAGGTAACAGACAGGCAGACAGACACACACAAATTGGCAGTTACAATATTAGTATGGAAGATGACAAAATAGAAAATGGCCAGAAGGATATCTCCCGCCGTATTCGTATTTCTGGACGAGGGTAAATGTTGCTAGAAACTGTAAACGTCAAGGCTATGTATGCGTGACAGGAAATGACGCTTTATTATGAGCTGACTCTGCATAGGCGCGGCGGTTACCTACGTACTTTGTGATAATATTGTGCTCAACTGCTCATACTAGGTGCAGTTCAACTTAGTTGAAATTTTTCGTAATGCATTTTTCTCTCCACTTTTTAGGCCGCACTTGCAGTCGCGTAATTTCATGGACGCGCTCCTGGCGTTTTGGCCAGGGCTGCAAGTCTTACTAGGTGACGTCAGGCCTGCGGTGGAGACACACGAGATGCTTTATCAGGTCATGCAACGGCACACGTTCATACCGGAGGCGTTTACTTCAGATTTCCAGGTGTGTGCTGAGAGTTGTTTAAAACCATCATCAGCTTATTAATGTTCCTTCCATATGAAATAGGGCGATTGGGCCATGACTGACCACGTAGGCCCAGTGAGGAATAGTGGGTGTAAATGAAGATGCAGCTAAAACCAACGGCTTAAAGTGCCTTCCGAAGCCAATTTTTTTTTCACCCAACCGATATTCGGCCATTGCGAAAGTTGCTTCCACTTCATATAAACAATTTCCGCGTAAGCAATCCGAACATGCTAATCACTTGCGCCATACACCTCCTCGAGATTTAAAGTACTGTATTACAAATTGTATTTTCATGCACAATTATGGTATTATTTTCGATATTATTATAATGGAATTCTGTAAATTACCATCCTGAACTGTCTACGCTCCAGCGTAGACATCATCACTATTAGGTTACCATGAATGTGTTCTTTATCCAGTCGACAAAAAGTTTTATCTTGGTGTTCTAGAATATTTTTATATTGAAATAAAAATTCTATAAATGCTTCCTAATTAAGCGATTGGAATTATATACAGGCAAGTACAATATTGCAGAAAAAGTTTATTTTACTAACATGAAGCTTACTTTCCTATTAGGATGCTTAAATACTAGCGGAATATCAGCTGTGCCCTACTTTTCTAGATGGATAAAATGATGGAATGGATAATTACAAATTTTCCAACTCTCTAGCATGCGGTTAGCGTCTCATAGATGCAAACACACAAATGTACATATAATATCATTAATATGTTGTCTAGTTTCTAAATGTAAGTAATGTCTGAGCAAGGCAATTAAAAAGTAGTTAAATTTATAAATATTGGAATTCCTGTCGTGCTTCGAAAGTTAAGTAAAATTACGGTAATTTTATTACTGCTCATTAGGTTATGATATTTATGAAAAACTTTCTAGTTTTCACTTTTTCCCAGTGTAATTTGCAGTGATATTGTAATTTGCAGACTGTCAAATAATGTACTAATAATAGGTTTCATAAAATGCAAATTAAGTTTTACCAAGTATCAAAATAAATAGTTATTCATTATTTAAACCCCTAACTTACATAGTAAGTAAAATTACTGTTTTACCGCGTTCATAGCTGCATTGTTGTCCTTTGTTAGCGATTCTGAGATAAAGAAACTCCACTAACCCGTTTTTGTAAACAGAGTATAGGACTGACAATGGCGCGCAGAAGAGGACGCAGAAATTCTGGAGTCGGAATTGTCTCTCTATCAGCTTTGGAAAATTGACTGAGGACTTGAGTCAATTCTCCAGTGTGCCCTGTGCCCAGATACACGTGTATGGTGACCTCGTTTGAGGCTGTGATCGTGGGTTAAGTAACTTTAGAAATAGTCGGCCATTGGATGAATGACCAAAAACTTATTGTCTAAAGCTCCTCCGTGCTTCGTAAGTCACGTTAAGATATTGGCCCCGGCTGCATCTGCAAGCTTTAGCACCCACCAATCCGCACTGGGCCCGCATGTTGGGTCACGACAAAATTTCCCTATTCAATACATAGGCAAGGCCTGTGCCCCAGCAGTGGGGAAATTAATAGGCTGTTGATGATGATACGTGAATATCACTTGAATAGTGCCATCTAGAGGAGAACCGCAGAGCTTTACTCACTATAATAATATTAAAATTATAAAACGAGAAATAATAATAATTTGTTGCCATAAATATAATTTATAACCACAAGCACCTGTGAAGAGATTTGATTTTGACAACATGTGCTGCTAATAAATTCTGCTTAAAACTTCGTGAGTCCCTATAAACGAAAATTATACGGGACAGAAATGACACTTTTCCGACTTGGCTTGGGTGCGGCGATAACTTATTCTATGATTGTACCGCACAGTATTATTTTGCAGTCTTGCAAGGTTTGCACACGTCATCAACGTTCTTGTATTTTTTTCGCTTTTAGGTGCACTGGGGCCAGCACCCTCTAAGGCCGGAATTCTTGGAATCCACATACTTTCTCCACAGAGCGACGGGCGACGATCACTACTTGCACGTTGGCAAGACTGTTTTAAAAGCTTTGCAGCAATACACCAGGGTCCCATGCGGCTACGCAGCCGTGAATGACGTCAGAACCAGATTACACGAGGACAGAATGGACTCATTCGTGCTCGCCGAGACCTTCAAGTACTTGTATATGTTGTTCGGCGAGGACAGAGATTTACCCGTTAAACTGGAGGACTACGTTCTTACCACGGAGGCGCACTTCCTGCCACTCTCCTTGGCTTCGGCCGGGAAAAATACGACGTACTTCACGTTGAGAATAGACGATGAAGACGAGGATAAGTACAGAAAGTAAGCATTAGTTTTATAACTTTGTATGTATTTTTGAGAAACATGTTGTTTGTTGACTTTCTATTATTAAGAATCACTTGCAGCAATTTACTCAATCTCGATTCAACCAAAAGTAGCTTTAACCCATTGAAAATTTTCGATGTCAATTCGACATTATTGTATGAGCTTAATATAGTCAATCCAGTTGAATTGAGATTTAGCGAATTTGATGCAAGTGGGCCTCAGTGTCAGTTGTTAAATTTCTATTTATATTTTATCGTAATGTTTCTATATTGACATCAGTGTCGTGTATAAAAAAATACGATGTGGATAGCGTACGGTAGATAAAGTAAAGTGTAAAGAGCCAGGCCTGCAAGGGCTTTTCATAAAAATCGTAGGTATTTGATGGTAACGCATATTCACGTGTACGAAAGTAGTAAAAATATAAAAATATTTATTTGTTCATTTTATGAACACTTTTGACATAAATACTTTTGATAGTCTACTGTACCCCTAGCACGAACCATTATCGAATTCGAATAGTTTGCAAACCGAAATGTCAATGTCAAATTTTGTATGGAAACTTTAACAGCAGCGGCACAAAGTACGTAACGAGAACTAAAAATCAGTATCCATTTGACAATGACATTTCGGACTCGAAAACGATACTAATTCGATATTGGTTCGTGCTAGGGGTACTGAAGCCGATTCGATAAGAACCAATCCGGAGTAGTACACACTAAATCTCTCTACACTAAATCCAACTACACTACTCTTTGCGGACAAAATCATCAAATCAAGGAGTTTTTGGCGGGATTTCATCGAATGCGGTTGGTGTCTTATTTTAATTATTCTTTATTTCGTTTATAGTGGATATTGTGAAATAAAATCGGTGTGATTTTGTGTTACAACCGTCTCCACAACTGAAGATTAGTGGAATCTTTAAAATATACGCTATTCCGGTCAAGTGGACATGAAAACTCTATTGTAGTGTTGATTACCTCACAGAAGCTTATCGAGATAGCTGACTCCGACACATTTCGTGCCTAATACTCCAAGAAACATTAGAATGCGTCACACCCACATTGTAAAAAAAAGAACAAAGAAAACTGTACCTTTGGTATGAGTTTTTTTTAATACGAAACGAATGATCGTTTTCGTCTATTTGATCAAACAAAAAACTATTCGAAAAATCGTTTTCGAATAGTGTCGCAGTACGAGTATAGAATTTCACTACTCATCTTCACGATATCATATGCTCTATTAAACGAACTTTACACTGTTTAGTTTTGTCTCTTTCGTTCTTTATTGCCAAAAACGAGATAGCTAAGCCATTCGTTCAATTCAACCTTAAACAAAGCTAATCTATGTACAACTCTAGACTTAATGTTATTAATCTGTGTCCAAAGAGTATAGAACCTACATTTATCTGTGCGTAACACTTGGCTGTATTTGGCTGTTTGGTTGACTACAAGGCTGTAAAGAAATAAATTTTAATGTAGTGTTTTGTGCTAAAGTAACACAAAGATACTCAAAAGATACTTTAGAGAGGCGGTACCTTTGTACAAAATGCCTTTTAGTGATAAAATAAGTTAATCGCCTCCGCTGTTTTATTCCCGTCGTTCCTGTGCACGCTGGTCTTCGTCAATCTCTCCAGCGAGCATGAGAACTAAATATTGTGCCGAAAACATTATTAGATTACATAAAAACTTGGCCCAAAACACTTAGTCACTGAAAGTTTCTAAACGAATGACGATACGATCAAACGTCGTAGTAAACTCATGACGCGCTGTCAAAGTTGTAACTTGTACTGCCAAAATGCAAACGACATACGAAAAGTTTTCGTTTTATGATGACTCGATGAACTCATTCTGCTGATTTTTGTTTTTGATAGTTAACGCTAGGGGCGCTGCTAGTCAATGTATGGAAACGAGACGATACGATTGATCGAATTCGAAAACGATTAAAACTCATACTAGGGGTACTGAAGACGAGGCTATATGAGCATTGTTCCCGTTGCCTTCCCTAGAAAAGGGAGAACGTTAAAAAATCATCAAAACAATCATTAACTGACAATTGTTTTGTTCAGGACATGTCCGAACACCGCGTCCTTAGTCGCCGAAAAAGTCCGTCAGCCGATGCGTCAGTTACTAGGATCCAGTGCGGCGCGACCTCCGGCAAGATTGCGGCCATTAAACGACCCGCGGCAGATCCACGCGTTAGCTGACATGGGCATCTCCGTGCTGACTCTCCCCGACGGCAGGGTGCAGCTGCTGTATACTACCGCGACTGTAAGTCTTAACTCAGACGGACTATCCAACAGCTCCTTAATACTGTGGCCATTAAACGACTAGCGGCAGATTCACGCGTTAGCTGACATGGGCATCTCCGTGCTGACTCTCCCCGACGGCAGGGTGCAGCTGCTATATACTACCGCGACTGTAAGTCTTAACTCAGACGGACTATCCAACGTCGGCGTGACTAACAAACAGCCCCTTAATACTGCGACCATTAAACGACCCGCGGCAGATTCACGCGTTAGCTGACATGGGCAGCTCCATGCTGACTCTCCCCGACGGCAGGGAGCAGCTGCTATTTACTACCGCGACTGTAAGTCTTAACTCAGACGGATTACCCCACGTCCGCGTGACTAACAAACAGCCCCTTAATACTGCGGCCATTAAACGACCCGCGGCAGATTCACGCGCTAGCTGACATGGGCATCTCCATGCTGACTCTCCCCGACGGCAGGGAGCAGCTGCTATATACTACCGTGACTGTAAGTCTTAACTCAGACGGACTATCCAACGTCCGCGTGACAACAAACACTGCGGCTTAATACTGCGGCCATTAAACGACCCGCGGCAGATTCACGCGTTAGCTGACATGGGTATCCCATGCTGACTCTTCCCGACGGCAGGGTGCAGCTGCTGTATACTACCGCGACTGTAAGTCAACTCAGACGGACTATCCAACGACCGCGTGACTAACAAACAGCCCCTTAATAATGCGACCATTAAACGACCCGCGGCAGATTCACGCGTTAGCTGACATGGGTATCCCATGCTGACTCTTCCCGACGGCAGGGTGCAGCTGCTGTATACTACCGCGACTGTAAGTCAACTCAGACGGACTATCCAACGACCGCGTGACTAACAAACAGCCCCTTAATAATGCGACCATTAAACGACCCACGGCAGATTCACGCGTTAGCTGACATGGGCTTCTCCATGCTGACTCTCCCCGACGGCAGGGAGCAGCTGCTGTATACTACCGCGACTGTAAGTCAACTCAGACGGACTATCCAACGTCCGCGTGAATAACAAACAGCCCCTTAATACTGTGGCCATTAAACGACCTGCGGCAAATCCACGCGTTGCGCGTGAACAGCGAGAAAGCGGTTGTTGTCGGCTGGCCGAAAACAATAAAAACCGCCTTACTTTTATAGCCATGACCCACCATGCGGGCCCAGTGCATATTGGTGGTTGCTAACGACTGCAGATGCAGGCGGGATCAACGGCTTAACGTGTCTTCCGAAGCACGAAGGAGCTCGAGACAGTAAATTTTTGGTCACCCATCCAATGACCGATTACTGCGAAAGTTGCGCCATCGAGCTCCCCCGTCCGTCCGTCAGTCGGTTGCCATCGAATTTGTAAATAAACGCAACACAGCAAGTAACACTCTCGTTCGCCAAGAACAGACGTAGCGTATCAACGGTTTCACCAACAAAATAGACGAAAGAATCAGTAACTAACCTCATTTAGTTAGTTGGATATAATAAAAATTCTCCGTATATTCTGATTATTGTAAATCAATTAAGCACTTTTAAGTAAATAATTTAAATTCTGTTCCAGGCGAAATCAGCAAAAGACGCGGCTGAAGGACTGACTTTCATGCGCGAAATGTCAAAATGGAACTCATTGAGCGACATAGAAAACGGCGTGGTACCGGTAGGTGTCAAAGTCGAGGACAAGATATTTCCAGCTGGGCCTGGCCACTTCGGTCGCGAAATTACCGGCGACGAACACTTAATCGGTAAAGTAGTTTTCGTCGAGCCATCTGATGCCTGCACAGAAATACAAAACAAAGAGGAAATGCTAGAAAAGTTTGCGATCGCCCTCAGAGGGCAGTGCACATTCGCCCAAAAGGTACGCAACTTACAAAACGCCGGCGTAAAACTGGCCATTATATTGGACAACGTTCCTCAATCCACGCATGAGAACACAGCCCTATTTGCCATGTCCGGAGACGGGAAAGACGACATCGAAATCCCTGCGGTATTCCTGTTCTCACAAGAAGGCGAGTACTTAACAGAGTTGGCGCGAACGAACCCAGAACTCGCAGTAACAGTCGGCGAATTAAAGTCGCTTAAGAGACAGTACGAGAAAAATTGCGACGGCGACAGTTGCGAAACGATACTGGAGTCATCGGAGGTCGCATCGGACAAGGAATCGTTCGATCATTTGAAAAAAGTGCTGAGTCAGTTGGTCGCGCAGTTTGAATTGTCTCTTTCTAACGAGGAACATGTTGCACAGAAAACATGCAGCGATAGTAACGTTGACGTTTACCTATCGAAAGATTCGTTTATGAACGACGACCTTCGTATCGACAGTAGGCCAGTGTGCGCAGACACAAAAACTGCCATCCACGAGTCCAGACACGAGAAAAAGGATAAAACCACAACCACAGAGAAACCTGGAGGTTTTTGACATAACGCGCTAAGTTGTAAATAATACCGTAGGTAAACAATGATTGTAAATATTCGATTGTAAGTAATTCACTCAATGGATTTCGTGCCTTTCGATATCGTTTACTTTATCTTATTTATTTATTTACTTATTAAAAAAACAATAACAGAGTTACAAGTAATTACATATCAAGTACATCACATCAACAGAACGGTACGGTCGAGCAAAATTTTTGATTTCATCGTATACTGTCGTTCCTGATCTTGTGTAATCTTTTACTTAAATTAAAACTTATGAAAGAGTGAATGAGGCATAATATAAAAGTAATTAAAAAAGATTTAATATTAACATATATACATCGATGGTTATTATACCATAAAATATAATTCTTCTAAGACACATTCGATTTATTTTTTACTTAGATCGTACTGATATAATTATAAGTTAAATGTACGAGTTTACTGCGTACAATGCATTTTTTCCTATGTTACTTCATTTTCAATTTATTGCACAAATCGGTTCCCATTCAGTTATCAAGAGCACCATTCATGTCCACTTTTATTTGAGTCACTGCATTGTAAATTACTCTCCATAATATAATTTTATCTCAATTGATACTTGTCATTCATCTCTTTATAGTTTCGGTGCAATTTATATGTGGCGTTACCAGTCAGTGGTAAAAGTACAGTCAAGTGTAAAACTATGCCGACATACATACTCGGGAGTTAATACTTTATTAATGTTTGATGTTTCTTTAATTTCTCGAAGAAAAATATAAAAACCTATAACGCCATATTTCGGAATTCAAATGGAACAAGCAATCAATACAAAAGATGACGGGCAAAAATGTATGGGACGCGTACCCACAACCAATAACGATCAGACGTATGTCGTTAGAAAGGTCTTTTCATGACTATATATATTTGTTATTATGCGGGCTAGTCTCAATTTGTTGTGGGGAAAATGTTATAGTTACTTAAATGATATTGATATTAAATGAGATCTATTAAAATAAAAGTTGTTTATTCTAAGTATGTTAAAAAACAGTTTTTGAGCGGATTCTATGTACTTTCAGCGTAATAATGTTAAGTATGAGACAAATCATGAAAAAGAAACTTAAAATATAAAAAAAAACAGTTATAATCGTTTATTACTGATTTACAAACACATTTCTTATTATTTAAAAATTAGTGATATATGTTGTCTACGATTACATCATTTAAAAATGCTGCTGGGGTATTGAACACTTCATGCCTTGCGTAAGCAATGTACCATATTATTGACATTATGAGTGCTGCCTTGCTGCCTACCGTTCTTCGTCCAGTCAAATAAGTGCAGTGATACTGACATATTGCATTAATGCCGATTTGATCCCTGTGTATTAAAATATAACAGTAATTATGTTCTAGATCTAACATGCCTTGACTGAATGCGTACTGCATGTCACCGCGTGCATCCTCCCCAAATACTTTTATCATATACAGGCCGTTTTGTATATGTTCACCGCAATAAGATTTTGCAAGTTTCACTTGGTAGGAGCCCAATGCAAACATTTTAATGTCATGTTCTGTGACTCTCAGAAAGTCTTGAAATTCAAGCTAATTTACATCTAGAATAGTGAACGCAACCCTTTGCCTATGAAGGTTATTTTCAATCACATAATTGAATAAATGATTTTAATATCTGGAACTAACAACTTTTATTTTAATACATATAAGTTAAGTAACTATAACATTTTCCCCACAACGAATTGAGACTAGCCCCCATAATAACAAATGATAGTCATGAAAAGAGCTTTCTAGCGACATATGTCTGGTCGTTATGGGTCGGTGGGTACATTCCGCCCTTTACTTAGTGATCCATTATAAAGCAGTTTAGCCCCAATGTAAGGTTTTCATATCTCTGGTCAGACTGTAGTCAATAAATGATTATTTTAAACTCGAGGAATGTTAAATTTGATTACGTATTTTTACATGAGACTATACAAGACTGTGTAAAACTTTGTTTAGTTCTTTTGTAAGTATGTATATGTTACCGGCCAAACCCGATTTCAGGACAAACTAGTTTTGCCTAGGCTAAACTAGTTCTTCCTATACGCGATAGAATGAACTAGTATAGCCTAGTCCAAACTAATTGGTCCTAAGCCCGATAGGATAAACCAGATTAGCCTAGGCCAAACTAGTTGTTCCTGATACAAATACGCATACTCTAGGATAAACTAGTATGGCCTAGTCTTAACATTATAGTATATCTTGAAAGTCAAAATAAATAGATAAACTGAATAAAATACTCCGTAATTGGAAAAATAATATTTTTTATTAAAACGATAATGATTCATCGTTAAAAGCTATGGATAATTTGTAATACAAACAAATCATACTATAACAAATAATATGTGTTTTTTTAATAGAAGCAATAATCATATCTCAATTATTAAAATTGTTATTTATTTTTACATGGTGTGCTTTGGTGGCACTTAGAATTGCAGAGTATCATTGCCTTCTTGGCTTCTTGAATTTCAGAGTATCATTGCTATCATTGGCATCAGTTTGTGGAAAAGTTTTTGTTGCAGCTGCATCTCGCAAAACAAAAGGTCTATTTCTTATGTGTGCTAGTGTACCCATGCGCATTCGCACTCCCTCCTCTTTTTTCCAGCGTTCTTTTTACATGACGCAACCTATACAAGTCCTGACATGTTTGTTCAATTACTTTCGACTCTGCTAAAATGGTTTAGACTAGGCCTTACTAGTTTATCCTAGAGTGTGCGTATTTATATCAGGATCAACTAGTTTGGCCTAGGCTAAACTGGTGTATCCATCGGGCTTAGGACAAATTAGTTTGGACTAGGCTATACTAGTTAATCCTATCGCGTATAGGAAGAACTAGTTTAATCTAGGCAAAACTAGTTTGTCCTGAAATCGGGTTTGGCCGGTAATATATATACCTACACGAAAAACAAAATTGGAAGTGTTCAATAAAAATCCTAGATTAAAAACATCTGAAAAAAGACCATGGAGATATTTTAAATAGTTCATATTATTAAAAGTGTAAAGATTATATTGTCTTTTATTTTAATGTAGGCTAAGTGCACAACAAACGAAAAGGTCCCTTTTGAGATAGTATATAGTGCGATTTGAACTCTTGAATTTTTTGAATACTTTGAATTGGGCTTGCAAAAGCAAATGGGCTTTAAGACGATTAGAGCATGGGGGTCGTAACACAGGTTTTGTAACCTAGTACAATCTTCAGTTCTCTCAAAGAACTGCAGTTATTTTATTGTTTTGTCATTCATACCCGACTGCGCAATGCAAGGGGCACAAAGCGCGATGCGTAGACGGGGTATAGTTTTTTTTAATTAACAGTCTATATTATGTATATTTCTTTGTGGCACACTAGAGACCAAATGCGTGGACCGATTATGATGATTCCTATATCAATCGATTCGTCTTAATCATGAGAATGCTACTAAAGATATGATTATAATCGAAATTTAATAGGGGGACAATTAAACGCTATATTGTGAGCAAGAAAAAAAAAACAGTTGACAAACAAAAAAGTCCGCGACGGCTTATATCTATTTTTGTTTTGTAAGCCATTATCACTAAAACAGTAAATCAATAATAAAATATTATTTGATATCCACTTCCAAGATGCACATTTTATATAAACAAAATATTTTTTATAATTTTTATTTTTAAGAATGTAACTGCTTGATGTTTAAATCTAAAGAAAATATAACTAGAAAAAAATCCACGCGGACCAGGCAGCAGACGGGGCTCGAAACCACACCCTTCGCAATCCGGTTTTGATAAAATATTTTTTATTTATCAAAACAAAAACTTTTATCGCTTCTGATATTTTAAGACGATAAACTTTGCCTTTTACTCTATTATATGTCATTTCGGCAAATATCTAGAATATCTAGTATATAAATCAGTCAGTCTTTGAGCTTTTGCATGGTCAGACGCGTATTCAATTTTCTAAAATTCTTTATAAGTTACTTCATTACGTTTTGTACTCTTTACATCTTTATAATAGAGTGGGAATTGTCTAAGCCAGTAATAGTGTACTACTTCATCGTGTGTGTGAAACGGATAATCTTTCATCTCAATAAGCCTAAGCTTCGTGAGAAATCGTATCATTTCGCCGTAAACTCATCACCATCAGGTGCGTAAGTGCTAAAAGGACAGAAGCTTTTCGATCCTGTCGTCGGTTGCAGCGTGACTTGCAAAAGCTAACTACGAACTTCATTGCAGTTAACAAGTCAAATTAAATATGAGCGTAAAAAGAAGTCCTCCTAATAAAGGCACTGGATCGCAACCTGATTTAGCTAAATTACGGGATGAAAGCACTATTAATTTATTCATGCATAAAAAGAGAAAAGTGTCAGATTGCCAATGCGATTACCAAGATATGTTTCAAGAATTTCAGAATAAAATCATGGCTTCTATAAGTTCTACCCTGGAGATACAAAGTCAAAGTTTAAAGGGCACCCTGGATGCATTACGCGATGATTTTATTACATTTAAACAAGAAATACGTGACCTTAATGAAAAAGTTATAACAATAACTGCAGAACAGTTGGACATTCAAAAAAATCTGAGCGAGTTGTCATTGACAAATGAAAAAAATAATCACAAAGTTGATTCACTCACAAATGATGTTATTGAATTGCGTTCTACTATCAATACTTTAACTGAACAGCTTCGTGTAAAAGATCAGCAGGGGCGTATGAACAACTTAGAAATTTCTGGTATACCTATTTTAAAAGGTGAAAATTTGCACAATATTTTACACAATATTTCTACAAAGATAGGATTTCATCTAACCCCCTGCGACATTGATTATGTTCAACGAGTTCGGCGTTTCAACTCGGGTAAAACGAATGAATCGTCCAATTCAGCAGACGCTTCGAATCGCGATACCACTGCAATACCGAATATTATTGTTAAATTCACACAGAGGAAGCGTAAAAGCGATATGCTAGCGGCGGTGCATGAGCGAAAAGGCTTGACTACCTCCGATGTTGGATTGGATGGACCAGCCAAACCTATATTTATTAACGATCATTTGACACCTTCGAGCAAATTATTATATAAGCAAGCCAGACTTCTCGCAAAAGAAAAGGATTATAAATACATTTGGTTGTCTGATTGTAAAATTCTTTTACGCAAAAGTGATGCATCCAAAATAGTGTATGTTATGAATGAAGGTGATCTTTCCAAAATTAAATGACTAATTTTATACTTCCATCAATATCCATCCATAATTAATTATTTATATATAAGATTGTTTTCTTTAATTGTTTATAAACGCCTATATTACACTTGTCACAATTTACTTATAATAAGATCATATCATTTTGTCACTAAATTACACTTACACATTGTTTTTAATTACGTCGGTGGAACTATTTTAATCAATATAATAATATTTATTATTAAAATTCGATAACGATAATTTAACAATATACTATCAAAACGTGAGGGGTTTACGCACAAAATCACATTCTTTTTTTAACGCCGTTCTAACTTGTAACTTCGATATTATATGTATCACTGAAACTTGGCTTAACAATAACTTTCACGACTCGGAATACTTTGATAGTAGATACGATTTGTTTAGATGTGATCGTAATATAGCTGTAAGCGGACATGAACGTGGTGGCGGAGTGCTGATAGCGGTGCGCCGCGACTTGTGCCCGCGGCACCGCGGCGACATGCGTGCATCTCCGCCAGCTGAGGAAGTATGGGTGTCGGTGCCGCTGCGCTCGCGGCCGCTGGCTCGCGGCAGCGTCCCCTGCACCACCGTTGCTGCATCAAAACACGTTCCACAATACTTACACGTTATAACCACCTATATTGCTCATGGTAATAATCATAGCACATTGCTCAAATCATTTTATGACAGAGCCAGTGATTTTATTAATCGTAACTCTGAAGATATATTTTTGATACTCGGCGACTTCAATATTTCTAACGCACAATGGATTTACGATACAACCAGCAATTCTATGCAAATACAAACAAATAATGATAATTTAGCTTGTCTTACCGCCGATTTTATGGGAATATCTTTATTATCACAGTATAACAGCCAATTTAATCAAAACAGTAAGCTTTTGGATTTAATTTTTTGTAACGATTATTGTCAAGTATCACTTAGCAGCCACCCAATGGTGCCATGTGATCCTCACCACCCCCCACTAGAATTAGATTTAAAATTAATGATTAATGTAGCACTACAACCTTCAAATTGCATTAAAAAACAATTCTTTAAAGCCGATTTTGACTCCATTAGGGCAGCTCTAAATAAAATAGACTGGGAGAAGTCTCTGGTGGGTGATGTAGATTCTATGACAAATTATTTTTATAATATTTTGAATAATTTAATAGAGAAATATGTGCCAAGTTACAATATAAAAACGAAGCATAAAGATCCAGTTTGGTTTACTAAGCCCTTGATAAAATTAGAAAATGAAAAATGTAAATTTCACAGGAAATGGAAGCGTTTCGGTAACATATGTGATTATAATATATACTGAATGTTAAGGAGTCGGTTCAAAAGGATGTCGGCGGACTGTTATAAAAAAATTATTAAGTATTCCGAAGATAATATTAAAAAAGACCCGAAATCGTTTTGGTCAGATGTTAAATCAAAAAAATCTAGAAATGATATCCCAGCTAAAATGGTTTATATGGGCAAAACAATTTCTTGTGGTAAAGAAATTTGTGAGTCATTTAATACATACTTTAATTCTGTATTTATTTCATCTACCGGTGATTCTTCTCAAGTCAATACACATAGAGATAGTTTTTCTACTCTTGACCTTAACTCGGTAAATATTAATCTTGATATTGTCTTAAAAGAGTTGAAAAATGTCAATGTGCACAAGGGGGCTGGTTTTGATAATATTCATCCTATTTTAATTTCTAAGTGTGCTATAGAACTGGCAAAGCATGTCACATTGTTATTTCGTGCTTCTCTGGAGAATGGAGTTTTTCCAGAGAAATGGAAGTATTCTCTCATCACTCCCATTCCCAAAAATAATAAAAAGGATATTTTGACAGAATACAGGCCGATTTCTAAGCTTTGTGTTTTGGGTAAGATTCTTGAAAAAATAATAACTTCGCAAATCACAGTAGCTGTTCGTAATTTTATATCTCCCCAACAACATGGGTTTTTTAAGCATAGAAGTGTTGATACAAATTTGATCACATTCACTGATTAC